AGATTATCACAACACAATGTCACAACATCTTGTGTAACATTGTACTCAGGGAGCATCTGTTTTGACCAGATGTTTTGAGAACAGAATTTATGAGACTTGTTCTTTCCAACATCCTTGTCAAGATGACTTAAGGTTCTGACAACACATTCTTCTTCAAGTTTATTTGCCACATCACATATATTATCAGCCTGTAGTTTTGGAGTTCTTCTGACAGCTTCCATAGGAATAGCTCTTTTCATTCTTCCAAGCTTATGCTGCCACAGTTTCATCTCTTTTTCTTCTTTGATGATTTGACTCATAGTGGAGATATCAGTGTTCTCAGGCTGCCACACATAACAGTTATCTTTGGATTTGATTCCTCTCATTACAACATCTAGTTTTTCATTAAATACTAGACATTCAGATCTTGAGAAGTTGACCATGAATCCTAGATCACATAATTGACTGATGCTAATGAGATTAGTAGTCAACCCTTTTACCAGCAGTACCTTATTCAGACTTGGAACTCCAGGGCAGTCCAAATTACCAACTCCTTTGACTTCACCTTTAGCACCATCTCCAAAGGTCACAAAACTGGTGGTGTGAGGCATAACATTATTGAGGAGATTTTTGAATCCAGTCATGTGTCTGGAACATCCACTGTCAAAGTATCAATCTTCCTTTGCAGAGACCCTCAGGGAAGTGTGAGCTATCAGTGCAGTAGCCTTTTTCTTCCATTGAGGAGCATGTGGTACCTTTTTAGACTTAGGTTTGACATCTGAGTTCTGATTAGGATATCCATGTAGTCTGAAGCAGAAGGGCTTTATGTGACCATATTTCCCACAATGATGACATTTCCATCTTTGGTACCTCTTCTTCATATGTCTCTGTCCCTGATGTTGAGAGTAATGTTGAGACATCCGTTTTGACATTTGCTTCCCAGTACCAAATTTCTTTGTTTCCACAAATCCTAGGCCAGATTTATTTCCCATATTTTGTCCAGCCTGAAGGATCTCTTCCAATTTGTCTGTTCCATTGGTCAACATCTTGACAGATTTGGTCATTTGATTCAGTTGTGAGTTCAGCAATTGAACTTCTCCTTCTAGATGACTTATAGTTTCAAGATTCGCCCTTTTTTCAGCCTCCAGTTTGATAATGAGTTTTGATTGTTTCTCATTCTGCACACAGACTTCAGCACTTCTGATACACAATTTCTTGTAGGTATCAGCCAGTTCTCCAAATGTTACTTCTTCATCACTAGTATCACTTTCAGAAGTACAAACACTAGTTAGGGCAGTAACTAGTTTAGCAGATTCTTCTTCAGAATTACTTTCTGAATCATAGTCAGACCAAGTAACAGTCATTCCTTTCTTTTGCTTCTTAAGAAAAGTAGGACATTCAGCTCGAATATGTCCATATCCTTCACATCCATGGCATTGAATACCTCTGCCTTGGTTTCCCTTATCTTCTGACCTTGGTCTTCTGCTGGAACTGTCAATGTCAGAGGGAGTGTTATGAACATTAGACCTTGACTTTGGGTCCATTCTTTTGATGAGCCTGTTGAACTGTCTTCCAAGCATGGCAATAGCTTCAGATATGTTTTCTTCTTCATCCTCCTTGTATTCAACATCAGTATTGGATACAAGTGCTATGCTTTTGTTCTTCTTGTCTCCATTATCAGTGATCCCCATCTTAAAAGTCTGAAGAGACCCAATAAGTTCATCCACTTTCAACTTGCTAATGTCCTGGGCTTCCTCTATGGCAGTTACCTTCATTGCTAATCTTTTAGGCAAGGATCTGAGAATCTTCCTCACCAGTTTTTCTTCTGACATTTTTTCTCCCAGTGCTCCTGAGGTGTTGGCAATCTCCAAGATGTTCATGTGAAACTCATGAATGGTTTCATCTTCCATCATTTTTAGATTCTCAAACTTAGTGGTCAACATCTGAAGCCTTGACATTTTTACTTTGGAAGTGCCCTCATGAGTAGTTTTGAGAGTGTCCCAAACTTCCTTGGCCAGTTCATATTGATGTACTAGTCTGAAGATGTTTCTATCAATTCCATTGAACAAGGCATTTAAAGCTTTTGAATTTCCCAGAGCTAACTCATCTTCTTCTTTACTCCAATCTTCCTCAGGCTTCAGACTGATTGTCCCATCTCTCTCAGTTATGGTGGGATGAATCCATCCTTTGTCAGCAGCTCTCCAAGCCTTTTTGTCCAGAGATTTTAGGAAGGCAATCATACGAGGTTTCCAGTAGTCATAATTGGTTCCATCCAGAATGGGTGGTCTATTTCCAAAAACTCCTTCTTTGTCCATAGTGCCAGAAAGTGATATCCCTAGATCTCACCCAGTAATACAGGCAGGGTGCCTGCTCTGATGCCAATTGAAAATTCTGGCTGCAGATACTCAATGTCACGTCCAATGTTATGACACCGTATCTGACTTACTATATGACAGTAAATACAAAAGCAGTAAAGAACACAGTCAATTGTTTACCCAGTTCGGTGTGCAACAACACCTACTCTGGGGGCTACCAAGCCAGGGAGAGAATCCACTATAAGAGATGTTAATTCAAGAATAAACCAACCAGTTTATCTCCTTCACTTAAGACCTACCCAATGCAATTCTAATCTAAGTACAACTTAAACCTGAGTTCCTACTCACTCCCCCTCAATCACAGCAGTGATACATAAACCAATTTGACTTAAGAATTGATGAAGACACTCTTCAAAAAAACACACACTTGATTAAGCTTCACAGCTTTTTAATCAAGCAACACAATCACTCGTGCTTCAAAGCTTTGAGTGATGTACACAACTAACTTGACTCTGCTTCACAGCTTTAGTCAAGGGACATTCAAACACTCTTGCTTCAAAGCTTTGAGTGCTACACAACCCTTACAATCGAAACCTATTCCAAGGCACTTATCACAATGATAATTGCTTGGAGTACAATAAACAAATCTATACAGATTACAAAATTGATCTTCTAATCAATCAGCAGGGATGTCTTGAAAAACAGCAGCTCTGTTGAATATATAGCAGCTGCAACTTCAGTTAGGGTTTCCAAAAACCTAGGGTTGATTCCGTTTGACCTAAAGACCAGGTCACAGGACTTTATTAACCAGGTTAGGGTTGAGCTAGGTTACTCCTCAGAAAATGCAGGATTCTGTTCAGAAAGGACTAAGTTATTTCCTGAAAAAACTCAGACTTATCCAATTCTGCAATCCTGTTAGTTCAGAACAGGATGTCATAACATCTGTTATGACATCTGAGAAAACCTGTCTACTGATTTAGCAAAATGTGATCATTTTGCAAACATGCTCAGATACACACTTATAAACATCAGTATTTGAATTACAATATTTTTCTGCACATGTACCTAATGAGTTAGTACAACCTGAACTAGAATGTTATGACATCAGTCATGACATTCACACATACACTTGGGATTTACCAAAAATGCAAGTCAATACCTAAACACCTACAATAGCAATAAATGAAAATGATGCAAAATGGACATTGATTTTAAAATGAAGAAGATCAAGATAGAGATGATTGGCTTTTTCATTGACTTTTTCTCAAAAAATACGATCATGTATTAGATGAATGTAAAAAATAAAGGGTAAAAATGAGATGTGATAGTTAGATTTTGTTTGATGAACTTTTTTTGAACATGTTAGAATATATGTTTAATTTGTCAATGCATGAATAATTGAAGTTATATTTTTATTTATTGCCTCTTGTGTGTAATATTTTTTATTTGAAATACCCTGTTAATCTGATTATGGACGCATAGGGATTACTGATCATTAGTCTATGCGTTGGAATTAGAACAATTATTGTATTTACGTCGGTTCAATAGGCATAGTAGAGCTCTAGTAGTGGCATTTGAATTAATGTCATGTTGCATCACTTGATTTCACTTACGCCGGTTTAATAGGGATATGAGACCTCTAGTAGAAATTAGTGAGTTATACACCAACAAATTGAGTATAGTGGTTTTGTTAATTCGCCGTGAAAATATAATGACTTTATCATTTATGTAGTGCATTAAACATCAATAGGGGAGAAATAAGGGATTCTATACAAAACCTGACTGCTTTCGTATTATTTTTAGAACAAGTTTTAATTTTCAAAATCAAACTTGAACACTCCCCTGTTACTTTTTAAACTTTCACAACTATCGTTTTGTTAAATAACAGTACATGTGGATATGATCTTATTTTATTATTTTGACACTATCGATACATTTATCGAATGCATCATATAGCAAAAAAAAGAAAGAAAATGAAAAACTTACTAAATGTGAGAAGTCAATGATTTTCTATTGAATGGAGTGAAGTAGAGGTTGATTGATGTCCTAGCCTTGAATGCAATGCAATAGAAGTAACAAGAAAGTTTGAAAAATGATGAAAATGGAGTTTCCTCATATGCTTTGTTTTAGATTCTTAGCAAACTTTCTGAAATTAAATGAAGAAGAAGGAAGAGAGAATGTTTAACACGTTATATGAATTAAACACGTATGAAACTTAATCTCCATAAAATACTGAACTTAACTTCCGAATATTTTTTTTGACATGCATCTAAGACTTGATTTTAGTTATCTTTTGAATGCATCCGAAAGTTAAATTCGGATTTTATAGACATTATTGATTTTTGAGTAAGGTGCGTAAACACCACTAAAAATACATAAAGTAATTTCCATCTTTTTATCTTTTTATTAAATAATTTACTTAGTATGGAACCACTGAGAAGTTACCCACTAAAAATTTCAAACTTCAAAATCACTATGACATTATACAATATATAAGTATCTATCTACAACTAATATGACATTATACTCTTGTAAAAAGAATGACAAAACTCATATTGCTATTAGTAAAATAAATAAGCATCTAGCTACAATTAAATATGACAGTTATTATGTTTCTTCACATTGAAAATAAGAAGCATTACCAACAACAAGATACTCCAAGACTATACCTTAAAATCACCATGCAACAATTCTATGAACAACTAATTACACAGAAGGAAAAAACTTGTTTAGATTGAAAGGAAGAGAATAAAACTCTTCACTCCTCGTATCTGTCTTGAACGATCGAAACTTATCCCACCAATGCATTCCTCTATCTTTTCGCATTTGGTTGTCTTTCTTATGCAACGTAACGTCTAAGAACAACGCCAAGAGACTAGCAACAAATGGTTCAGACGCAAACGGAACATTGATCATGTCATTGAACTGTCAAAAAAGGAAAATATATCTGTCAAGGATCGAATTTTATGTAGTATTAGAATTTGATTTTCTAGTTGAAATCTCGCGCGTGTGGTGAACCTGTCAAATGGTTTATCATTGAACGAAAGGAAGTAGGAAAGAAGGAGACATACCCATCTTGCGCGCGTGTGTACAGGACCATAGCCTTTAAATGCTGTGTATTCGTTGAAATATTGCGGTATAGAAAATCCCATGAAAATAGAGAAGCCTAAGATGAATTTTGTTCTGAAACTGTTTAAATTGCAAAATTGAAGGAAGCTAAGACCTGCAGAGCCTGTGTTGCATCGAAACACAAAAAAAAAAGTAAGCAAATAACACTTGAATGGATATTCAATAATATTAATATCTCAACTTCTTGAAATTGATAATGTTACATACCAACATAAGCAAAGAATAGGCAATATAAAGCTGCAACAATAGGTGCTGGAATTGAAGCAAATACTGCTCCGAATTTTCCTGCATATAACGATGATTCGTAACAAGTTTTCAGTTTCAAAATCATCTAGTATACATCAAACTAAGCAAACAAGAATTCCGCGGTTAGACCTAGTTAGAGTTTTTTGTTATAGGAAGTTGCAAGTTAGTTAAAATTAGTTGCAAGTTAGTTAAAATTAGTTGCGAGTTGGTTAAGATTAGTAAGTTTAGTTATGATCATCGTTTAAAGTGTATTCTTACCCAAAATTGAAAAAAAAATCATGAATCCGGCCGATATTTGGACAACTCTTCGGCTACCTACGCGTGTCAAAGCTAAGAGTCCTGCATTTTCCCTGAGGAAAAACCAATATTGTTTCATATCATTTCTACATTGCTAGGAAAAAAATAGGCGCTTTCTTGCAATAGAAGAAACATAAAAAATGTAGTGTCGCGGTCATGTGATTCCGCAATTATTGTTTTAAAATCTTGCAAATAACATGAAACCATCTTGGGATGAAATCTTACACAGAAACTGATGATCCATTTCCTGTCCCGAATATCCCGGACAACATTATTCCAACACCCTGATATGAAACATAAAAATTTTAAGCAAAGATATTACAAAATTTAATGCGATAAAAAAAAAAGAAATGCATGATTAGTAAATATAAGTAAATTTTGTTTACCTGCCAGCCTACACCTCTGCTAAGAACCGAAGGTGGAATCGGAGTTGCACTTGCATACCTTGATACAGCAATGAAAGCACCAGTTGACTGTGGCACAAGTAAGTTTGTGCAAGAGTATTAGATGCAACAATACTCTACGGTTCAATCGTGGGTTTGTCTTGATTTGAACCGTTTAATACAATTAAACCATAACCTAAATGTCTCGTAGGTTCGATATTGAAACAATAAGCATACCTCTACTAGAGCAACAAGTGAAGCAGCCATCATAGCAAAAGTTTCACCAGCATCAAATGTTGGAGCTCCCCATTGAAACGGATATGGGACTCTTATCCTACAAATGTATTTTTATAAGGAACTATCAGTAAAAATTAGTTTATTTAAGCTTAATCGTTCATTTAAGTACTTTTTCAAAGAGCTTATCAAAATAGCTTATGACATGTTTTTTGAGCTTACCAAGGAGCACCACCTATGATTCCAGCGCGATCTGTCCTACATGTAATTTGGGTTTTAGGTGCTGAGTTTTTGTATGCTCCACCAACAGTAAGAAGATAAGCATAAAGCCACACAATTGCCACCGAGAATATAACTGCAAATCGATCAAAGATCGGCTTTTCTCCTTTCATCATGTGAGGAATGTACTGCAAAAACATTATGGCGGAAGTTGATCCATGTAGCCAACCCCAATCCCACTTAGTGGAATAACGCTTGGTCGGTGGTGTTGTTGGAGATGAAAGGAAAACAAAGTACTGAAAATATTACCTGTGAAAATACTACTAGGATGATGATTTCTGGTAGTCCAATCTCGACGCATTTTGCAAGCTAGAATTCATCGGCCACGATTAAAAGAGTGAGAATCACACATTATATGTAAAATATAGGAAGAAATCAAAGGTTAGTTCTTGTTAGAAATATCGATCTATACCACTGGAAATCCGAATTCGTACAGACCAAAGCCTGAGAGAGCAACCAAGGGAACCGCGGAGAGAGGACTTAAGAACCTAACTACATTGCGCCAAAGTCCACTAAAACCAAGAACAATTTGAAGTGTTGAAGCAACTATAAGTGCACCTTGTGTTCCCCTCATTATCTTCTCAAACTTCTGCGTATTTGTCGAGTAAAAATAAATGATTGAATAACAGATAGAATAAAAAATGAAGATATAATCAACTCGAGTTTGTGACGAACCAACCTCATGAGGATTAACAATGTCGCTATAGCGACCGGCCAAAATAATTGAAATAGTTGTTGGAACAAAAGTGTAGGATCCTCCGATAACGGCGGGAAGACGAGTCCCGAATGTTGTTTGGAAAAATGTGTTAATTCCGGCTACAAATAGTAGTGTCTGAATTACTTTGGCTTTCTCTTCCTATAATTGAATTCTTCATTAGATTTTTGAACCAAACAACAATATTAATAACTTTTTCTTTCCGCATTTCTTTGATTCCAAGACTTACATTTCCACCTCCCATTTGAGGAACTAGAGAGCTTGGAATTAGAACCGTTGTACCAAGCATCACAAGGTAATGTTGAAAGCCAAGTAGGATTGCCTCGGCTTCATATTAACATAAACAAAATGTCAGATATTGTGATGATTCAGGACTAACATGATACTATCGCATGTGATTTTATCTAGTCTCATTGTCGTATTGAAGACGTGTCAGTGTCAATGTCCTATTTAGTACATGAAAAAATGGTTTCGATTAAGAAGTTGAGTAACTTACGCCATGGAGGAGGACTTGTAATGCAATAAGAAACATTTGGTAATTGATCTTTAACCGGATGTGGAAGAAGTTCATCTTGCTTTGGTTGCGGCGCAGCTCCACCTCCTGCCATTCTTCTTATATACTATTAACTTAACAATGCAACCAAAACTCAAAGCTCTCCCGCATCAATTTCTCAACCACAAAAAATGTGTAGTTATTATATGACACTAGCACTGACACTGACACATTCACGAATTCAAAGAAGTAGTAGAAGCTCAAATCAACCTTAGAGAAGGAAAATAACACTCTTGGGAAACTAACACAAGAATTCAAGTTATGAAAACTTGTCAGCAAGGTAATGCAATGCATAAAAGTGAGTGTGAAGACGTGAAAAAAGGGAAAAGGAGGAAGCCAGCTCTTACTAAAGCAACAAAGGAAATAAAAAATGTAAAAGAATCTCTTTGATTTCCAACTTTGCTTTACATTTTACAGTACAATATTGTAATGAAATATTTAATAGTGTTAACCATAGTACTTTTCTTTTTATTCAACACGTAAAGATAAAGTAATGTATAAAAGCATCTTGACCTTAACCTTTATTAACCTCAGATTTAATGTTTAACTTATACAAGTTTATTGTTGGCAATTCATCAAGTTATGCTTAAGTTATGTCTCTTTTGATAAATTGGCAATTCAAGTTTTGAGAAGGGAACTTGATGCCCACGAAAACTCACCACCTTAGATACATAGATGTCTAGTGAAGGACTTTTGTTCTTTTAGAGAAAATCTAGTGACGTATAAACCGTCACAAAAAATATTTTAGGAAAATAGTTTGATTGATTCAAGAATGTTTCTATCAAACTCAAGTCCGTACCACTACAACTTCGAGGTAATGTTCTCTTTGGTGAGAAACACTACCTACTAAATCAAGTCCGATGCATAACATCATTGATTATAATAAAAATGAACCAGATCCATATATTTTGCAACTTTTACCAAAGGTACTTTAGAATCCTTTCGGCTACACATTGTTTTGAAAGGGAAAAAAAGCCATTTCAATTTGACCTATCATTACTCTTCATTTTTGTCAAAGTGAAGAATTCATAGTGGCAACATATAATACTCCATAGTAGAAATCATCCCATTGTTGTTATGTGGAGTAAAGAAAATTTAGTTGTAGTCCATACTATAACGCATCCCCGTATGAAATGATGTCAAACAAATGAGGAAATAAAGGATACACTAATTCTTCCTTTAGCGTCATCATCTCACATGCTACACAAAAGATATGTACCCAAAGATTGCTATACAAGGAATAGTGACGTAGATAAGTTTAAAAACCTAATTACTACATGCAAATATATTATTTTTTGGTATTGATATGTGTGAGATTTTGGATCAAATTCTAGTTTTCATAAGGGTGGTTTTTTGGTTCGGTAGAGATTAAGTATGATGTTGAAGTTTGTTTACATGTTGGTGTAGAAATCCTATATATTGTAGTTGAAGTACGCTCAAGCATGTAGTAGTCGAAATGTTAGTATTGTTAGCATATCGAGAAATGTTAGTATTGTTAGCATATCGAATTGGGTTTGTTTGTTTAACCCAATTATTTAAGTTAGTTTGTAGCTCAAATTAGTTTAGTAGTCTATAAATAGACTAGTTTTCTTAGGTTGTCGAAAGAGGTTGATTGTTGTTATTCACTTGTAATCTTTGAACCCTTATTGAGTAAGTGAATAGTAAAATAATTTTAATCAATTTTGATTTTCTTCTCTCTTCTCTCTTTCGTAAAAACATAATAGAGTTTCTTGTGTGTTCAAGAAACTCATCTTTCACATAGTTTTGATTTGTTTTTGACGACACTCTGTTACAATAAACTGGTGTGGTGAGCCTAGAGAAGATGATGTCAACAAAGTTTGAGATAGAAAAATTCACTGGGGTGAATGATTTTGGTTTATGGTGCTTGAAGATGTGAGTCATTCTTGTTCAATGGAGTTTTCTAGAAGCGTTAAAGGGAGCCGAAGTCATGGATGTTGCTCTAACGGAGAAGGAGAAGACGATGATGATTGAGAAAGCCCATTACGCGATCATATTGAGCCTTGGTGATAAGATTCTCCAGTAGGTTTCAAAGGAGAAGACGACGAGTGTATGGATAAAACTCGAAGGATTCTACATGACTAAATCCTTGGTAAATTGTTTGTACTTGAAGCAAACTTTGTATTCATTCAAGAAGAGTGAAGACAAAGTATTGGTTGAGCAGTTGGATATGTTCAACAAGCTGATTCTTAATCTGGAGAATATCGAAGTTAGTATTGATGATGAAGATCAAGCATTGTTATTATTGTGTTCTTTACCTAAGTCTCATGGTTACTTCAAAAAAACTCTCTTGTATGGAAGAGAGTCCCTAACCTTTGAAGAAGTTCAATATTCCTTGTACTCAAAGGACTAGAACGAGATTAAGGAGCATAAACCATCGTCTGTTGGTGAAGGTTTGTCCGTTAAAGGGAAATTTTTGAAGAAAGATGATAGGTTTGAGAAGAAGAAGGGTAAAATTCAGCTGAAGTCTTATGCTGGTGATGTTTCTGCAATTAGGTGTTACCACTGTAAGAAGGAGAATCACACAATAAAAATATTCCATGATCGATAGAACAATCATGGTGGTAAGGATAATGATAATATAGCTATTATGCAAGATGATTATGAATCATCTGATGTCCTAGTAGTTTCGAGCAACAATTAGAGCAAGGAATGGATCATGGATTCGAGTATCACTTGTCACATGACTCCAAACAAAAATGTGTTTGAGGTATTATGTGATCAAGATGGTGGATTAGTGTTGTCGAGAAAAAACAAAGCCTGCAAAATTATAGGTATTGGATCTGTAAGATTCAAGCTTTATGATGAGTCAATAAAGTTATTGACTGGTGTCAGGTATGTAAATGATCTGAAGAGAAATTTGATTTCTCTTGGTGAATTCTACAAGAAAGGATATATTTTGAAAGGAGAGCAAGGTATCCTAAGGATAATGAAGGGGTCAAAGGAAGTCTTGGAAGACATCAAAAGGCAAGGCATGTATACCTTTGAAGTTGAGGTTGTAAATGATTCAGCATATATGGTAACCATAAAACATGTGCCAAAGACTAAGGTACGACACAAAAGACTTGGCCATGTCAGTTAAAGAGGCTTGGTCTAATTGTCGGGAAAAAACCTGTTATGTGGTGACAAGGTCGAAAAGTTGGAGTTTTGTGAGCCTTGTGTATTTGGTAAATCATGTAGGGTGGCGTTTAACAAAGGTAAACAAAAAAATATGGATCCCTTGATTATATCCATGCTAATATTTTGGGTGTGCAAGAAATCTGACACACTTAGTTGCAAGATTATTTTTTAAAGGAAAAGATATGTGTAAGATATTTTCTATCCATAGTTAATGATTACTCACGAAAGTTGTGGGTATTCATTCAGAAATATAAGGATTAAACTTTTTAAAATTTCAAAAGTTGGAAGACTCTGGTCGAAAACCAAACTGGCAGGAAGGTCAAGAGGCTTAGGACCAACAATGGTCTTAAGTTATGCAATAAAGATTTTGACAGCTATCGTGTTGCGCCTGGTATTGCAAGGCACGAAGATAAAATGATTTAGATGAAAGGTTTAATCGAACCATTTTGGAAAGAGTTAGATGCATGTTGGTTAGTGCTGGATTGAAGAAGGTGTTTTGGGATGAGGCTATTTCGACATCAATATACTTGATAAATAGATGTCCCTCGACTGCCTTAAGGATAAAGGCACCTGAAAAAGTATGGTCGGGGCATCCACCTAATCTCGACAGACTTAGAGTATTTGGATATGTAGCATATGCTCATATCAGGTAAGACAAGGTCGAATCTGGAGCTCTGAGATGCATGTTAATGGGGTACCCTGAAGGAGTTAAAGCTTACATGATGTGGTTCTTAGAGACAGGTCATAAGAGGTGTATCATAATTCGAGATGTAGTTTTCAATGAAGTAGAAATAGTTTTCAATGAAGTAGAAATGGTGTTCAAGAAAACCGATGATGATGGTTGAAATGTAGAAATCTATGAAGAGGAGCTGGAACAAGAAGAGATTCATGTTGAGGTGGAGCATAGTGATGATGAATTGCATAACCCAAATTAAGTCGAAGAAGAAGTAGAAGTTGCTGATGAAAATGAGGAAACTGAAAATGACTACCTGTTGGAAAGATACAGGTCGATAAGAGTCATCAAGCCACTTCAGAGACTTGGTTATATATATCTCATAGTGTTTGCTTTAATCTCTACAAGTGAGGTTCTTGGTGAAGAACCTATATACTACAAGAGAGTTGTGAGAATTCGAAATAAGACTGAATGGATGAAGGCCATTGATGATGAGATGAAATCTATTTATGATAACCACACTTGGGATCTGATCGAGAAAACTGAAGGGGCTAGGTTAGTCAGTTGTAAATAGATTTTCAAGGTTAAGGAAATAATCAAAGGAGTGATGTCTAAGTGATACAAGGCAAGGATGGTAGCGAGGGGGCTCACTCAAAAAGAAATAGTCAGCTTTAATAATGTGTTCTCACATCTTGTAAAGCATAGATCCATTCGAATGTTGTTAGCCGTGATGGTGAAGTTTGACCTAAAAGTTAAACAAATGTATGTGATGACCACTTTCTTGTATCGTGATCTATATGAAACAATCCTCATGAAGAAATCTAAAGAGTATGAAGAAAAGGTTAATGAGGATTATGTGTGCAAGTTGCATAGGTCTTTGTATGGCTTGAAACAATCTCCCCGACAATAGAATAGGAGATTCGACAAGTTCATGGAACACATAGGTTTCACTAGAAGTCAGTTTGACCACTATGTTTACTTTAGATTTCGAACTGGAATTTCACTTTTTATTTTGTTGCTTTGTGTGTATGACATCCTCATAGGAAGCAACCGTGTTAAGGATGTAGTGAAGATAAATGTTGAACTCAATGAGGAGTTCGACATGAAGGATTTGTGAGCTGCTCCAAAATTCTTGAAATTGACATCTAGATAGATATAAAGTAGTAGAGATTATGCTTATCTCAAGAGAAATACCTACGAAATATTCTCGACAAGTTTGGTTTGTCGAATTCAAATCATGTTGTGACACCAATAAATCCTCAATTCATGCTAAGTACGACTCAAAGTCCGAGTACTGAACTTGAATGAATCTATATGAATAAAATTTTATATGCTAGTGTAATAGGTAATTTGATGTATGTGAAGGTAATAAGAATACAAAAGAAGTGGGGGGTTTGAATTGTCTATGGTGGAATATTTTGCTTATTTTAAAAAACAACTTTTGAAACTGAAGAAATTCAGTGTCTAAGCAAGAGCAGATAGCAACAGAAAATGATAAAGCAAGTAAGCAATAAGTAACAGCACACACAAAAGTTATCCTAACTCTTCTACAATCGATAGTAGTCCAGTCTCCTTGTCCCATATGAGATTT